ATAAATGTAATAATCCTAGTACCAATATGTTTTTAAATGAGGAAGAAATGTCTCTCACTCTCGACGCTGAGCTTCAGTGGGTCCCCCTTATATCTAAACTAGCAAGCAGACTAAGCTCTGCAGCTTATGCTGTAAAAAAGATTAGAAATCTCACTAGTGTTAGACAGCTAGATTAGTTTATTTCAGTTGTTTCCATAGCATAATGTCACATGGGATTTTGCTATGGGGGAATGCGGCTGATTTTGAAACTATTTTTGTTTTGTAGTAGAGGCCCATAAGAGCGATTTACAACCTTAAACCGAGAGAGTCTCTTAGAGAAAAATTTAAAGAAATAAATATATAAACTTTAGCCTCTCAGTATATCTATGAAAATTTGAGGTATGTTCACAAAAACAAAGGTAGTTTTAGTAAAAAAAAAAGTAATATACACTCTGTAAACACTAGGCACAAACACAAGCTAGTGATATCAGTTTCCCGACTCCACAGAGTTAGTAATTAATTCTTGGGGCAATGTATACGCTATAACAACAAGTCCCAGAAAGTATAGAAGGTCTGTCTATTACCAAGTTTAAATATTTAATCGAACAAAAACTGTATAAAAAGGGTAATTATGATATAAATGAATACATGGTTAATAATAACCCCTGGGAATGAGGTGGTCGCTTCCAAGCTGTTTCTAAAATAAATTTTGTAAATATTTTGTGACCCTTGAAATTGTAAAATTTGTTTAAAAAAATTGTCCGGCTGGGTTTCTTGTTGGTTCTTTCCAGGACAGAGGTTTTTTTAACCAGTGGTAAGGTAAAAAATTGACTTTCAATAAGAATTGCTTGGAATCTATATGAATAAAAAAAATTCTAGTCTATTAATAGAATAGAACAGAATAGCTGTTCATATTCTATAATTACTAAAATTTTTAACGTATACATGATGACAAAAAGATTCAAATGCGCTAAAAACATAACACTAATCAATTAACAAATGTCTTAATAAAAAAAAACAATTCTATGTTTTTAAAGTAAAATTAATTTGATATTAGAATTCTTAGCCACACAAAATTTATTTTAATTTGAAATGACCAGTACTGCAGAACGGCAATTTCATAGGAAATATACTTTATTTTACACCAATAAACAATTATAAATAGGTACAATTAGCTTTTAGCTAACAAGCGATCTCTACAAGACAATCACATTGCAGAGGATATAATATTCTAGTTTACATGTTGCTGTTTACATTACAGTTTAACTTAAAAAAAGATATCGAAATAATTTAATCAAAAAGAAATTGAATTATTTAACTAGAAAAAACACACGCCAATGATGCCAGTTTTTTGACACAGAGTCAGTTATTCATTCACGAAGGTCTTCATCTATATGACGAAGTTATCAGGACTTTATTGTAAAAGCGTACCTATGCATTGCTTCACAAGGTATATCTGTCTTCAAGTTAATTATTTTTCTAAAGTAAGATCAAAAAGAAAAGGTCACCATAACCGTTACAGCCTATCAACAGGTCTCTGAAAATAGGCTTAAAATTATATCGCCGCTTAAAATAATCTGCCTATTGGTTGGCCACCGCATTTTTTTATCTTATTAGGAGACGCTGCAACCCACCTCCTGGTTTTTTATTTCTGTCGCCTCTTACAAGAACCACGGGACGGTATGGAAAAGCAGATACTTCTTACACCTCCATTACACGATCAAAAATTATAAAATAAAAAAGTTATTAACATATACTGGATGACCTTTTTACCGCCTGGGAAAATATAGGGTGTAACATGAAAACGGAGTAGAGGCCTATAGTCCTGATATGTATTTTACAAAAATTAAAAAGTTTAAATTTCGCATTAAATAAATAAATTAATAAAAATCTATCGAAATTCAAATCATTTCATACTTTACGAATGGCAATAAAACAATAAATTTAGTAGGCATCTCTGACCTTGTCACTTCTCAGGGTCGAAGACTCATGGGCAAGGGGCAAAGTAATGGTTAAAAAAATTCAAACGTTTAATTCAAAAATTTTGTTTTTTTTTCCAGGCAGTAAAAAAGGTTATCCAATATATAGATAAGTTCGATAAGCGATCACCTCATTCCCAGGGGTTGCCTGATCTCCACAGTTTTTAAATTATAATTTTTACCTCGTTTATGTCTGTATGTATACTTATGTATATAGACTTATATATATATATATATATATATATATATATATATACATATATATATATATATATGTATACTTGCCTTGTTGTATGTCTGTTCGGGGCAAATTTAGTAACTGATTTTAAACTAGCTTTCCAAGCTAGAGATTTGAAATTATGAACATGTTGGTAGTTCAGAATCTGATGAAAATGTAAGAATATGAAAAAAAGCGCAATATTTAACTTTATTACCTTACCTTACAGTCCATTAAAGTCCATATTTGAACACGGGCCTCCCGCTTAGATTGCCTCATACGGGAAATATTTACTATACTTACCACGCTTGGCAAGCCTTTTTTTTAATTTCAGTATCTTGATTTGTTTCTCTATGTCCCCTCTTACGATACCCACGGGATGATATGGTTTAGTGCATAGTCTTACACCGCCACTACACGCTACACTGCTTTAATTAATAAATTTATTTATTTTATTCTTTACTGCACCAAAGATTTTGTACTAATGGCGAGCTTAATGCTATATGGCATTCTCTACTAGCTAACCTAGGGTAGAACAGAGAGTGAGTTATGGGCAGTAAAGTTGTCATGATCACATTCAATTCAAATATGTACATGCTACACATACGTAAAATATATATACATATATACACTTATATATTATATACACATACACATATAAATAATATAACTAATACACACATTTATACATATTATATATCTCAATAAATGTATATACAAATAACTATAAACATATAAAGTAAGTGGACTCTAATTCGTTGGTTACGGATATGTTCGTATAGTTTTCTTTTAAAAACTTTTTTGGTAGGTACTATTCGCAGTTCAACAGGCAATTTGTTCCAGAGGGAGATGGAAGTTACTGTGGAAGAACATTTTTACATTAGTTATTATTTCTTAGTAATCGTAGAGCTTATTTCAGTGATAATTATTACTTTGAAAAACGATAGGGTTGAGGTTAAAAGTTGTTAGAACTCCATTATTATTTTGAAAGACCTTTCTAATTATAACTTACAGCTGTTGAATTACCATTATATTCGTTGATATTTAATAGCAGCCATATAGGCTCATTAATACGTTGTGTCTGATATAATTTTGTATTAAGTTGTTATCCTTTCTTATTTTTGTGGACCTTACCAGTTATTTTTTCCTTAATTCTATTCTATTCTTTTTTCCCTCAAAATTTGTTTATTTTTTTTCTATTAATCTTTCCTTGGTGTACAACAATAAGTATTGTACAGTACTGTAATTTCTAAAGCAGAAGTAACTAAACTGTACGGATTTCCACGACTAGCTTTTATTGAAGTCGTTACAATATCCACTCTCACGTTCTGGAATTACTTTAAGATTGGAAAACTTCTTGTCGAAAGTTAGCGACGAGTTAAGTGAGTTTGATTTCATGCGCCACTGTGTTAAGTAAAATTATTTGGCGGATACATTTAGTTTTACCTTACTCAAATTTGACAGGAATACATAGTCGGTTAGATCTGATTCTGAATGATAGAATAGAGTAGAATAATTTTTATTCAATATAGAATACAAGCTAGTTTTAAGTTCACGTGTTCGAAAAAGACCGTCCTGTGAAGAACCAGCAAGAAATCTAGCGGATTTTTTAAACATGAAACATTTCAAATTCAACTTCTTGAAACGCAGTCCCGCACATCTTTCTTCTTTCTTTCTTATCAGTCTGTAAACTATCACTGCTGCACGAAAACAAAGGCACCTAAAATAATATTGTTGATTGTAATTGTGTACGTGATCTTCTAATAACTTGAGCATGGTTTTAGCAGATTAGCGAACTAAGCTTTTTTCATTTAGATCCCACTAGACATACGAGTAGTAACGACCTCGTAAAAGATGCAGAAAGTCAAAACTGGCTCAGGGTCGTGCTGTTGACATTATATGCAGGAGTTCTGTATTTAGCTGTGAACTTGCTAGACTATGATGAATGAATAAATAAATTAAACATAGCCGTAGCCGTAGCTCTGTTCAGAGCAGGATTCACTAAGGAATGCGGAACATGACGACACTAAAGTGTCACACGTGAAGGTGCTTTCACTTAGGCATGGAAATGTTTTATAATACTTTTTCATCGAATTAATATGTATTACATACTAGTAGATACGCCGAGATATGGTCCTTTCAATCACAAGTTAGAGCCCATGGGCTCAAATAGTCCGTGCCATAAAAAGGGTACTCGGTGGCTCCCAGCTACTAGTATATTATAGGCTACTACTAGATGTATACAAATTTCCAGGAAATGTACAAAATTTGACCTTTACAAAATTCAAAAACTTTATTAAACTAAGTTTGTTTGTAAAGGGTTATTATAATATTAAGGAATTAATGGCTGAAAACCCCTGGGAATAAGGTGATTGCTTCCAAGTTATTTCTAATTTGTTTTATGTTGTTAATTGTGTATTAAAAATACTGTTTACAAACATATTATATGATTGTTAACTTCTTTTTTTCAAAAACATTCCCGCAGGCTTTTTGCTAGTTCTTCCCAGAGGTTATTTCCGAACAAGTGGTAAAACTTAAATAACTTTCCATAAACGTGTTTTTAGTCTATATTAACTAAAAATGATTAATTGTAGCACAAACGGGTCGGTTGGAGAGCACGCTCTCACAGAACCACCAACAGCAACTGTGTTTCGTGTGGTAACTGTAGGAAACCGGCACGGCGACCCTTTTACTTCAAACGAGGCATTTTGATTCTTAATCGAGGATAGATGTAGAGGTCTATGGTCCACAGCAACCACTTGCCGTCAGGTGAACTGTATCCTCGTTTGCCACCCTTATACTATAAAAAACTTAGGTGTACTTACACACGCAACAGACACCGAGGCCGTGCGCGCAGTCACCAGCCGCCTTGCCGTCTCGCTGCCGGCAGTCGTACGGGTTGAGGCAAATGCCAGCTCGAGCCAGCGTTTGGCCAACAGGTTGGCACTCGTGCTCTCCGCCCACCGGGAAGAAGTTGAGCACCTTGCCCAGGGAGAACAAACCTGTAGAACAACAATTAATTAGTTGGAATAAGAATAAAGTAATTGCCAAATTACAAAGCAAAAGCTGGAGTTTCACTAAGAGACAATAATAGTAAGTATAAATTATGAAAACATGGGGCTTAGCAGTGAACTATAGCTACCTTTAAGATCGCAGTGATACTGCATAGCTGCTCGCACATTTAAAAAAGTATAAAATATACAATTAATTAGTCGCATATAGATACATCATTATTACAGCCCTTCACAAGTCCACTGCTGAACATAGGCCTCCCCCAAGGTATGCCACAAAGCACGGTCCTAAGCCACCTGCATCCATCGACTTCCTGCATGTCTTACCAGGTCGTCACTCCATCTAGTGGGGGGTCGCCCTACACTTCGCCTACCTGTACGACGGTACGGTTATTTACCCGAAACTCTTCACCGTTATATTAGAAGACATTTTCAAGCTACTGGACTGGAAAGGATACGGCATTAACATCAATGGCGAGTACATCACTCACCTTCGATTTGCCGACGATATAGTCCTTATGGCAGAATCGCTGGAGGACTTAAGCACTATGCTCAATGACCTCAATAGTGCCTCCCAACGGATAGGTCTTAAGATGAACATGGACAAAACAAAGATCATGTTTAATTTCCATGTCACACCTATACCGGTAGTTATTGGTAGCACTAAGCTCGAAGTTGTTGACAAGTACGTTTATCTGGGACAAATAGTCCGACTAGGTAAGTCCAAATTCGAACGAGAGGTTAATCGACGGATTCAACTCGGCCGGGCAGCGTTCGGGAAATTACGACGCATCTTCTCGTCAGGTATACCTCAAAACCTGAAAACTAAGTTGTACAACCAGTGCGTGCTGCCAGTGATGACCTACTGAACCGAGACGTGGTCCTTCACTGCTGGGCGTATAGATACATAATTAGAGTTAAATAAAAGTAAAACAACGTTGTGTTAGCTTTAACTGAAAACACCTAGGTGATCGTTATCAAATTATTGTACAGAAAATTTTAAGGAAGAAAAAGAAAAAGAAAGTAAAACTTTATTTGAAATCACAAGGAAAAGAAAATAACACGAGATATTAAAAAACAACAAACAAAACTATTTAGATTGTTTAGACATCCGTAAATTTTTGGCAAAATTTAAAATTCCATTACATTTATATGCTCATATATAGTACATATATAATCTAAAACGGTCACGTTAAAATAAGGCTAATCTAAAACTAAAACTACACGTATTAGTCATAAGCTGAGGTAATTCTAGTGAGAATACTAAATAAACCAAAGTCGTGAAATGGTTATATTATTATTTGTTCTTAATACGTCTGCAACACTTTAGATTATTTAGACGTCTGATAGTAGCTAAGGCATACAGATCACGCTAATAAAAAGCGATTTGCTAAAAAGGTGTTTAAACATTAACCAAGAGCTAGTCAAAATCACCAATGGGACAAAAAGTAACTTCGAGATCGTCTAATTTCGTCCCATTAACTTTATGTTGTTTTTTTTTTCTGTACGCTTTAGGTAAGGTATGTCCGTCCGTGAAGTCAATATTGGGCTGTCATTAAGTACAGCAGCAGTTAGATGAACCTTATTTGTCTTGACACAAATTATCTTGTAGTTTATTTATTTTATCTCTATATATTTTATCTCTGTATATTTTTGGTAGATGTTTTAATTACTCTTTCTATTGTGTTTTAGTATATTTTAGCATTTTGACTATAATTGCAATGATAAACGTAAAAATATCTACTACAAAAGATCTCTAACTCTCAAAGTATATTATATAAATCCTACAACTGCACAAAGGCCTTCTACATACTTCGAGATAATTTCAGGATAAGAATAGTCCGTAGCGCTGCCCTCGACTTTACGTGTCCACGATCACGATAATATTCATTTTATTTTGAAGAATTTATTTTTTAATGAAAATTATTTAATAATTACTGCATCCGTGACTATCACACTAATATTATAAACTCGCAAGTTTATGTGAGTGTGTTTATTTCAAACAAGGTATCTCTGTAACGACTATCGGATTTGGATGAAATTTGGTAGGTATATAGACAGTCGAGACCAGAGGTGTTTCCTGACCAGTGGTCTGCAAATCACTGGTGGTCTCTAAAGATACCCGAAAAGGTCCGCTAAGGCATCATAAAATAATTTCACGCCATGCTCTTGTATGCCAGAATACTTTATAATTATCAAAAAATAAATTTAAAAGAATAAACTACAGATAAAAATACTAATCATCAGAACTAATAAACAGCCTCCTGCTCTCTTGGATTTTTTCCCCGGGCGGATTCGTCTTTTATACAAGTCACCTACGATAACCAATGTTCTGTAATATGTCTATTGAACGGACACATGTCAGCATCAGCACTTTTTATTGTAAGTAAAAATTTCTTTGGTGCCGGCAGAGATCAACTTTTAAAAGTTAATCGAAATTCGCTTACAAATATTTTTAGCTTCTAGACTAATACTTCATAAATTAAAACGCGTCTCAAGCCAAGCAGTAAAGTTGTTACACGGGCTCATAATGAATGGGCTAATTTAAATTTACCTTATTTAAATGAGTAACCTTGTATTTTCCTCCTATCAAACAAAGCGAATAAAAGGTTCAAAGGAATTAATATAAACTTGGCTAACAAAAGAAAATTGAAATACCCTCACTTTTACAAATACTATATAACTTTTTAAAATAAAGCTTCTAAGGAAGCTAGCTAGCTAACTTTAAATGGGAAACAATGTAGGTACTGAAAGACCGTCTTTATATAAAGATATACACAGATTACTTTGCAAAAGAGGATTAAAAGTCAATTTAATAAAATAAATCGTTATATTTGTAAGTTTAATATTTGTATTATAATAGAAATTAGTCTTTGCATTTAAGGTTTGCAAGCGTCAATATAAGATCATTCGAATATTTTTTATTAGTAAAATAAGTGAAAGACTTTGATAAACTTCATTTGAGCAAAGACAGTATGTATATACCATCCAGGCCTCCATTACAGTCTATAGCCACTGCTGAACGTCATGCAGTTTGGCAACCGCAGTATTTTTTTATAGAATAAGGATGACAAAAAGTGGTTGCTGTGGCCCATGGACAATATTATATATAGAGCCCATTATATATAGAGTAATATTAATCGCTGTATTGAAATCTATTCTCGATTAAGGATCAAACTGCAGACGGTTTGTAACCCGTGAGGACTAAGATGGAATGCCTCGTTATCAGTAAAAAGGATTTCCGGTTTACTACACTCACCATACGAAACACAGCGACGTTCAGCTGCTATTTTACCCTAGTATTCTGTGAGAGCGTGGCTGCAGCACGACTCTACCGCGTCTATTTATAAGTTTATGTTGTCATCAGAATGATGCTGCTGCCCATCTCCTATTTCAGTTTCTCTCTGTCGCTTACGACACGCGCGAGAAGATATGGGGTAGTGGATATTCGACAAAGCCACTACACGGTTTATGTGTATAGATTAGTGTAGTGTTTATCATTAAAATCATAAAATTACCACAGGAGAACCTTTCTTATCCATCGGTTGACGATCCTTTGGAAAACACCTCTAATTTGTGGTTAAAGTATTGTTACGCCCCTAAGTTGATGTCTGGTACCTGGCACTAGCGCCATCTAGTGTCGGGGAACAGAGCGAGGAGAGCTTTCCAGAAAATGGCATGACTGAACTTTCAACCAACAGCACCATCTAGTATCGAATTAAAGAACTAAGCTTTCTGGAAAGCTCCACACTCCATCTTTCTGCACCTGGTCGATCGGCGACCTGTATTTGCTGCAATATTCTGGATGTATCGAAGAAAAAGGCGTATATAAAGGCGTTGAAGCCCGCCACCGGGGCAGTATTGAATTGGCGATACGAGCGAAGCTTTCGGAGTGAAATAAAGTAACTAGTGTTCAGTGTGAACAATTATTAGTGTGATTTAAGTTTTAATTAGTGTTCAGTAATTAGTGTCAATTTTGGTAATTCAATCAGCAGTTTTTATTGTCACGAACCCTAAGCTCGTAACAGTATATATTAAACACTCCTGCAATCAGAAATAAAATACGAGAATTTAAATTTTAAATAATTATTTTCAATGTTGCCAACACTGGAAATCACTCACACAATCAGTCACTACAATATAGTATACACTCTGCTCCTGACAACTACTGCCAGGTGAAAATATAACAATATCTACTTAAATTCTCTGACTGCAGCTAATCTGTGGCAAAACTAAACAGAAAAGTATAGCGAAAAATAGTGAACACGCTTCCGTTAGAGGAGGTGCCACTCTTCCTCTTCGCCGAGAATTGTGAAGCGACGTTCGACGTCATATACTTTGTAGAGTTATCTAGTTAGTTATAACTCTATATGCCTTACGAAGTAAGGAACTGTAGCACTTTGTAAAATTGTCGATAAGAGCAATCGACTGAATTATTGGCCGTCTACTTTAATGGTGCTTTTTTTTCAAACGTTCTTTCATAGCGATTTTTGGTACATTTATATATTTAAGTCACTTTTTTTACTACTTTGCTTTTTAAACGAGGGCCTCTCCCGTTAATTATAAACAGAAACTTTCTTTCAATACAGATTATAAATAATACTTATATAAGGTCACTTTTTTTTTATTTACCGCTGGTTCGGAAAAAACTCTGTCCTGGGAAGAACCTTAGAAAGCCTTAAAAATTATAATCATGTATGTTACACATTTTACAACACGAAACTGATTATTTTCGTCGTTCCGATTGCTTGGTAGCGATTACCTTTTGCAGGGGTTATCATCATCTATAAAAAAGGCGGATTCGACTTGTTGAGGAATCGTCACACTTGTCAGTCTAATTGACGATCGCGAATCCAGTTTACGTGGTAAAGCCAATCTTCAACTATATAGTGTTGTTGTAGCACGAATGGGTCGGCTCCATCGGGGAAGGACCACACTCTCACAGAATACCAGCATATAATAGCATCTCAATGCTGTTGTGTTCCGTATGGTGAATGTGGAGAACCGGAGACCCGTTTTACCGCAAACGAGGTATTCCAGTATTCCGTCTTAGTCCTCAGGGGTAACAACTCATCTGCATTTTGATATTTAATCGAGGTTAAGTGTATATGTTTATGGCCACAGCATCCACGTGCCATAAAGTGGACTGTGCCCTCGGTTATCACCCTCATTCTTTAAAAGGAAAAAGTACAATAACCCGCTTATTATCTAAAATAATAATAATAAATGCAGCTATATTAGTATAACAGTAAATTTGCAGTGCCAAGTCACTTGCACACTTATTCAAAAGTTTTAACGAATGTGTCTAACCCATTCGAAGTTGTAAGCTACTTAATTACAAAACAAACATTTTTTTTATACTGCTAACGAAGCAGTCAATTGGTGTTCGCAAGTTGGAACTGTCTAGTGTATAGGGTTGCCTCTCTATAATGATTGATTAAACTATTTAGTATGAATCATGGTCATCATAAATGGGCCGGCTATATAGTTCAAAGAACCGACAACCGATATGGAAAAAAGTTTCTCGAATTGTATCCTCGTTCTGGTATGCGAAGTGTACGACGACCCCCTACGGTGGAAGTCGATGAATGCGGGTGGCTCTGGACCGCTACTTTGTGGCGTTCCTTGGAGGAGGCCTATGTTTAGCAGTGGACTTGTTGGCTGTAATGATGATGATGCAACACCTCATGATTACAGCCCATACAGTGCACGCACTGCTGAACTTAAACCTCCCTCAAGGAATGCTAACTAATCATGGTGCAGAGCCACCTGCATTATTCGCATTACCGCATGTCTTACCAGGTCTTCACTCTGTCCACCCGACATTTCACTTACTTGCTTGAGGCTGCCATTCGAGAACGTTCATGTCCCATCGATTTTCGGTACATCTTGCTATATGGCCAGACCATTACCGCTTAAACCAACCATAACAATGTTTTTTTATACTTTATTTATAAGGTAAATATAACACATTTGTACAAATACTTATAGTGGGACAAAGAATTGCCCCCAATTTTTTGGTCCAATAATGTACATCTTTTACATTCATAACAACAGTTTTTTTGTACATTCATAATAAAAAAACAGATTGACAGATTGGCCTAATGAGAAGATATCTGCCATAGTTGCCGCGCTTGGCTGGCTGACTATCAACCGCAGGTCTCATTGTTTTGTTCAGTTCTCAAGTAGATGTCGCTGCCCAACGTCTAGCTTATCCAGTCACACAACACTCGGATCATATTATGTAGAATCTACATATCTTTAATTTTTCCTCGTAAACTTATAATATATTTAAATACCTACGTCTCAATGTCATTTTACGTTTTCAGGTTATTAGCAAAAAAATCTTTCATAAATTAAGCAGTTTGACTTTAGTAAGTAAGTAATATTATATATTATTTACGGCATGTCGTGTATGTATGGCACTTAACTATTTTTAAAAGGCGACAACCCTGTGAACGGAACAAAACATTTATCGAATAAAAAACACTGTTCACAAAAAGCGTAGAAGAGTTTTGTACTTTTTCTGACAAGTCGGGCTTTTCCTGTACATTTTAGAGTTCCTTAAGAAATTTTATTAGAAACCTTATTAAGTAAAATAATGCATACATTTTGTTCGTGATAAAGCAATAAAAAGTACAAAAATAATTAATAGAATCAGGCGTTACTTTGCGAAAATCCATTATATTAAAGTTGTTAAGAATTACTTCGCCTCTATCTGCTCAATGAAATAAAATTATGTATCTTATTTTACCTAGTTTGAAGAGCACCTTCCGCCCATCTCAATTGCGTACGCTAATCCCGCCACCACTAATCCCAGCATCACTACTAGGCACATCATTTTATTTTATTGAGTGGATATGGGCGAAGTAACTCTTAACAACTTTAAGTACACAAATGCTATGCAATATTAATACTACTAATAATATTAATACCAATATCTTATAATAATAAACCATTTATTTACCTCGTACAATGTTGTATTGCTACAATTTAAAAAAAGTAACCCACGACTAACGTACGTCCTGCTGTCACCAAAATGAATTTTTGATTGGTATATAATAATTTTACTAAATACCAACCGGTTATTTTAAACACCTATTTATTTGCTCTAAAAACTCAGCTCACCAGACTGCGTAAGATTAATTGTCATTTTCACTTTAGTTCATTAATCATTCTATAAACGTGTTTTAATTTTAAAACTAAATTAATTAAAGGCTGTCTCGCTTTAAAGGAAAAGTTATTTGGCACGTTTACCGTGACTCAACAATTGCAGCAGATGCACAATCAATATTATTTTGTCATAGGCTGATTTAAAAAAAATTGTTGCTTATCGAACATATGAACACCAAAAACTCTAGATACACTTAACTCCAATACTAATAGTTATATAATGACAAATAAAGAACATACAATAATATTTTTACAAAGTGATGAACAATTGCAATTGTAGAGAAAAAAACACAATATTATTTGAATAGATTCCAACGACAAGAACTGTGTTTGCAATGGCCATTTACGACATTTGAGTTGACAAATGGTAGCCGAAAAATTAATAATTTTGAACAATCGACTTCAATACACATAAATAAAAGGAAAACATCATCAATGTAGTCGAAGTCAATTAAATACGCGTTATTAATCATAACTCAAAGAATACTAGTAAGATATTGATCAAATTTATGTGAGACCTTGTAAAAAGCACAAAAAATCAACTTTCAAATTTAAAAAGAATCATCAAAATCGGTTCACCTAGAAATAAAATTCTGAGGTCACACACAAAAAATACAGTAGAATTGATTACTTTCTACTTTTTGAAGTCGGTTAAAAAATAGGGTGACTGGCGCAAAGCCATTCTCAGAGGTGATAACAATTCCTAATTTTTCCAGTCACGTCTGTGGCTAAATTACTAATACATATCGTATCTATATATAATATACAGCATATACTTTTAAAAATAAACAACAATTTCGTCCCGTGGGTGTCGTAAAGGGCGACAGAGGGACATTAAAACTTAAAATGGGCGGCAGCATTTTTCTGATGAAAACAATTTAAAATAATAACTAATAACTGCGATTATCATACCGCCTGCCAAACGTGGCAATATGGCAAAATCTTCTTGAAGAAGCAAATCTATGTAAGAAGCCTATGTTCAGTAGTGGACTTTTATATATATATATATATATATATATATATATATATATATATATATATATATATATATATATATATATATCTATGGGGGTGGCCTGTTATTTAATAGGTTGTGTTTAGTAAATAAATGATAACTGTAGAAAATTTAATACCGACGGAACCCACGTCTTATTAAACAAGTCGGTGCTGTTTATTCTTTTTTCATACACCTATTCGAGGCCAACGAGTAGTGCTGTGATGTTGAACTGTCAGTTCACTTTCACCAAAACATCTGCTGCTGTTATTTGAGCAATGTTAGCCGACATACAGATTATGTGCTAAGGACTACTGTAGAAAATAAACCGTTTTATAGAATACGAGTTAATTACGAGCCTACAGTCCACACATACCAACCCCTATGTGCCAGATATACACTTACGTCTCTCCTCGATCAAGATCTAACCCATGCCCAATAAAAAGGCTCTCCTAAACTGGCCTGGGAATTGGCTCCGAACAACTAAAAGGAAACGGGGTTGGGCCTTCTTCTTCTTGACTCTGAAACGCCAAAAGGGGAAACAAAGTTCGTCCCTCTTTTTTCTTTCTTCCGAAACGCCAAAAGGGAAGTGGCTCTCGGGCGACTTCTTAATTTTCTTCTACAACTTTGTTAATTTTCTCTACAGTCAAAAAAGTCGTGGGTTTGAATCCGCCATTCGACTACTGGTGTGAACCACTCGTAACACAATAATTTAAGCTTACCACGAGTGGTTAAGGTGAATATTAGTAATGTTTATAGCATTGTTAATATTCTTTTTTCCATAAAAAAGAAAAAGAAAGAAAGTCACCATACGAAACACCTTAGCATAGCAGAAATTTATGCATGTAGGTATTGTTTTTCTTATTTTTTATAAATCTAAAATGACAAACGTACTCACAATCCACCTGATGGTAAGTGGATACTGCACTCCAAGGCCACCTGCAGTTAATTCAAACACTTTTGATAGTATTAAACCTGTTTTAAAGCCAAATTTTGATCAATTTTTAAATCACGTTGATAAATTATATATTTTAAGCCCCCATATTGCCCTTACCATTTTAAAATATTGTCTCCTTGTACCTAAATTTAGATACTTGTTACGCTCAGGTCTGGAAATGTTTGGATATTTTAAAAGATATTGATAGTAATCTTAAAATTGCTTTAGAAAAAATTCTAAATTTGAGATTAAATACAATAGCCTGGAATCAAGCCACTTTACCTATCAAATTTGGTGGTATTGGTGTAAGAAATATTTCTAGCGTCGCATTGCCTGCTTTCCTTGCTTCCGTGCATAGTGTCAATGATCTATGTAACACAATTTTAAATAATAAAGTAGACCTGTGCTTTGCTGCGGAGGTAAGGCAAACATGGCTAACGCTGTGTCCCGGCGAAAGTGTCCCACTGGAATTTAATCACCAAAAACAGTGGGATATTCCGTTGGTACGGAGTGTCCAGAAAAATTTATTTCAAAATTTCTACAGTCAACAAGATCAGGCTCGCCTTCTAGCTGTTTCGACTAAGGAATTTAGCCACTGGTTACATGCTTTACCATCAAGTAATCTCGGCACATTGCTTGATGGGGAAAGTTTGCGCATCGCCGTAGGAATCCGGCTAGGAGTGGCAATTTGTCAACCTCACCAGTGCCCCTGTGGTAGCAGCGTCGATGAGCTTGGGCTCCACGGACTTTCATGCAAGAAAAGTGCAGGTAGGTTTCCCAGCACGGTTCTTTGAACGAAATCATCCGAAGGGCTCTTGTCTCCATAAATGACCCCTCGGTTTTAGAGCCTTGCGGGATATTTAGAGACGATACCCGACGGTATGACTTTGGTCCCTTGGGAGAGAGGTAAAGCCCTAGTGTGGGATGCTACTTGCGTTGACACTTTGGCGGCCTCTCATCTCAAGGGTACCTCTTTTAGAGCCGGGGGCGGCATCAGAGGCAGCCGAATTTAGTAAATGGCGCAAATATGAGTCTTTGAGAAAAGACTACATATTTGTGCCATTTGCTGTAGGTAGAGACTATCGGTCCGTGGGGTCCGTGTGCAGTGAAGTTTCTAAAGGAACTGTATCCACGACTGGTCGTCGCTGCTGGTGATAAGAGGGCTGGTTCTTTCCACGCTCAAAGGCTAAGTTTAGCTATTCAGCGAGGAAACGCAGCCAGCGTTCTTGGCACTATATCACGGGGAGCAGGTCTTTTTGACTATTTACATTTTTAGTTTTAGATTTTCTATATTATAGTTTCTTCTTTTATATTGTATATAATTAGTTTTAATCGTAAATATTGTAATTTTAATTATTATTTTAGTTAAGTTCTTTATATAAAAATAAATGTGTCAGAAGCTGTTTTATAAATGCTAAATTTATGTCCAAAGAAATAATAGGCAAATAGAAATAAAAATACATTCAATAGTAAATACAAACATAGAAGGTTATAGATGTGTACCTCTGAGAACGCAAAACACCTTACAACCAGTTATATTGGCTCTCTATAGCCTTCAGACCGGAATACAGCAGCTCAATTACTGCTACTGGCTACAGAAATATTCTAAAGGGTTCTACCAACCCAGATTTATTCAGAAAAAGAATCCAGGGTACCATCTAGAATTACAAAACGATTGTACTCCGTAAGATATATTTCCTTTATTTATAGCTATTCTTTTCGTCTAGTTTGTTAAAGAAAATTTTCTACAGTAAAAAGGAAC